ATTTTGCTATTTATCTGAAATGAAATTGCTTCTCGAGACTATTTTCGCGAAAGCTATTACGTGTCAAGGATCATGGGGTCGGTGCATTCAAATTATATACATACACATAATACAGTATATGTACATATATACAAGAATAACTCTGCGTCCGGAAATAGGGCGCGCTAATTCAATCTAACCCTCGCATCGTTTATATTTAATAATAATTATTTAAAGTAATTTTTCAAACATTAATTAAGCAATTCAATTAAGAAATAAAAAAAAAAAAACTTTATCCATAATAATTCTTAGGTTTTAATTTATATGTTTAAATTTCCGTGCCATCTATAGTGGCACAACGACAGTGTCTCCATCTTGCGGTTTTCTTTTTGTTTTAATTATTAACGCTCGCTTGTAAAAATATAAAAAAAAAAAATTTTAATAAATTTTTTTACAAAACTTGATTTAAAAAAAAAAAAAAACAATAATTTTTTCTCCACTAATTTCTTTTTTCGTGAATAATAAATGTGAGGGAAAATTTCTAATTTAGATAAAATAAATATTTGAACGTTAAATATATATCTGATGCGGTGCAAATATTAATTAAAATAATAGTTGTTTACTTTATTGAAATTGATGGAGGGTTGGGTGAAAGGGGGAGGGTGGGAAGAAAATTGTTATAGTAATATCAAAGGAGGAGGTGTTTTCAGAGTTTGTTGAGTCGTGCTTTTACATGCAAAAAGAAACATATATATATATATATATATACAATGCTCAAGATACGGATCTTGGTTTTGTTGGAAGATTATTATTGTGGAGGAGGGTCTCGCGTTGTAGGTACGCGAGAAACTCACGCACGATTTACGCTCAACATAAAATCCCTTCCCTTTTTTTTTTACCGGCTTTTACCTTTTCACTTAAATATCATCTTCTTTTTTTTTTTGGAAAGAAAAAGAAGAAAAATTCTTATTGAAAAAAATAATCATTTTTGTTCATAAAAATAGTTTTATTTAATATTCATTAAAATAAAATTTCTTTTAGTTATATTTTAAATAATTTTTTTTGTAATTGGCGCAAAAAGGAGAATGAATTCATGACGAGATTGGAGGGAGAGTCACCTTATCGACCTCTCGTATATATATATATATGCTTTCTTTGTTTTTTTCATTTCCCGTCTCTTCTTTATTTTTTTTTTTTTTTATTCCACTCTTCTTGTATTTCTTGTTTACACTTTAAAGACGCCATAATGTTCTGCCTGACGACCTCGGTTCTTTTTATAAAACTCCGTGACTCCAAGTGCGCGTACTGGCTTAAAATTTGCAATTAAATATTCCCCCCCCCCAAAAAAAAAGAAAAATAAATTGTTAATCAAATTTTGGATTTTTTCTCTTTTAATTAAATTTTTTAAAAATTATTTTTAATAACTACTTTTAAATTAATTTTTCTTTACTTTTGAAGTAATTTTTTACATTTTAATAAAATAAATTTTTAAATTGAACGCAATAGTCGAGATTAAGGGGGGAGAATTGATCTAAAAAATAAATTTGAAATTTTCTCATGGTCGATGAGGTTTCCAGACATTTAAAAAGTCAAACTACCTTCTGGCACGAACGTATACCAGAAGCGATTGGATGGCACCAGTGGCGCTCGCAATTGACAAATCGATAACTCATCCGAGTTGAACATACACACATATACATAGACACACACACACACACACATATCTAGCCAAAAAAGATGAGCTCCCTTCTCTCACAACTTTTTAATTCAAGTTTCCTTGACAATCATTTTTCTCTCGCCAACTTTATAAATTGCGTTCATATATTTTTAATTTAAATTTAAATTTTTTTCCCTCAACACTTTTCATTTTTTTTTTTTTTTTCAACTGTCATTTTCAATTTTTCTTTATTTTTTTTTCTAATCTATAAAAATCCCGTACAGCACAAAAAAAAGAGTGGTTAAAAATTTAATTTACAAGTTAATTGGAAAAGTATAATTTTTTACATATATATGGTTACAAAAATAATTTTTATCTTGTTAAAGAAAATAAATGTTTAAAATTATAAAAAAGATGAAAATCTATCAAAATATATATATATCGATACATCGATTGATAATGATTTATATCGATTTAAATACATTTTTATCGATTATTATTAAGGGTTAATAAGGATTAATATCAAAATATATCGATTAATATCGAATTACATTGATTAATAAGAATTTATATCGATTATTAAGGGTTAATAGCGATTAATATCGATCATTATCGATTCTAATAAAAACGATTAGTTTCAATTGATAACGATTAGTATCGATTAATAGTGATGAATATCGATTAATGACGATTAATATCGATTACTAGTATCGATTTATAACGATTAGTGCGTCGATTAATAGCGATGAATATCGATTAATATTGATAAGTATCGATAAATATCGATTAATAACGATAAATATCGATTAATAACGATTAATATCAACTAATATCGATTCATCGATTAATAACGATTATTTTCGATTAATATCGATTAATATCGATTCATCGATTAATAACGATTATTTTCGATTAATATCGATTAATATCGATTCATCGATTAATAACGATTATTTTCGATGAATATCGATGAATATCGATTAGTATCGATTAATATCGATTAGTATCGTTTAATATCGATTGGTATCGATTAATATCGATTAGTATCGATACATATCGATTAATATCTATGAATAACCATTAATATCTATGAATAATGATTAATATCGATGAATAATGATTTATAACGATTACTATTATCGATTTGTAACTATTATTATTATCGATTAATAACGATTAATTTCGATTAATATCGAATTTAAATCAATCTTTGTACGTCGATTTACTTTGATTTTTCCCTTCATAATTAACAGAAAATAATTGTTTTATCAATAAATTTTGAATTTTTTGAAACATTTTTTTCCAAAACTTAAAAGTGAAATAAGAAAAATGGTTGCGAATATATAATAAATATTTAACGACACGATGGCGTATGTTGATTTGTATTGTGGAAGGTAAAAAAATGTTTAAAACATGGGCTGCGCATTTCAATGAACTCTGAGATCGGAAGTGGTTGAATAAAAAAAAAAAAAAAAAAATTTCCTTCCAAAAAAAAGCAAAAAAAAAAAAAATCGTGAATGTAATATTTTCGAGACTAGTCGAAAAATCGTCATGTTTGGAGGAAAAGAACGGGGATGAGGAGGAGGAGAAGGACCGAGGGGAAAGGAGAATCTGCATATATAGATTAGACTTTCCGGGGAGGGGTGGCAGGGGGAGGGGGGGTGGAAGAGACTGAATCGCGAACTGCTTTAAAGGCAGGAAAATTTTAAACATGGCGGGTGGTGGTTGGTGCTGAGAGCTTGGAAAGGCAGGCGCGCACCACACGCGTCGATCAATATAGCGCCTTGTTTAATATCAGTTCTCAAACTCAACTGTACAGCCAACCTCAAGAAGAAATCTTAAGTTTCATATACACTCGAAGATAATTTTTTTTTTTAAAACAAATCCACTTTAATAATTAAAATTTGGTATTTTAAAAAAAAATGTTGTACTATTTTGAAAATTAATACAAAAACTATAACATTATCCTTATTAATTTCGTTTACAATTCTTTTTTTGTGTATTAATTTTTATTTTTTTTTTTTAAGAACTTTTTAGAAAATTTTCTTTTAATTATTTTTCTCTAATTTTTTATTACCGTATTAATTTATAAATTTATAATTATAATTAAATTTATTTATATTAATTTATTAACATTCTACATATCATTTAAATTTCTTAAAATGATATAATATTCGCTATGTAATTATTAATTACAAAACTTAATTAATTTTATTAATGACTCGAGCAAATAATTATTTAGCATTTTAATTATAAATGACAAAAGATTTGAATATTATTATTAACTTAATAATTAATATTTTTATTTTCTAATTAACGTTGTAATTATTATTCAAATTTTTATTACTTTCTCCCAAATGAGTAAAATAATTGATTTATAATAATAATAATAATAATAATAATAATTACTGCAGAGTAATTAATTTTGAAATAAATTACTACCTGTAATTAATTTTCATCTTCATTACATTTACGAAAAATAAAAAAAAAAAAATACTAATAACGGGTAATTTTTTCTTTATTAAAGTGAACAAAAATAGAAATATTTTTTAAGAATTTTTGTCAAAAAATGTTGTGTTTTTATTATGTATTTTTTAAAAATTTAAAAAAAAAAAAAATATTGTTCTGAACTTGATAATAAATATATATATATATATATGATTTCATTGATACAATTTACGTCACGCTGTTTACCACATTGACCGGCTGTATTTAACCACCGTAAGTAACGCGCAGTCAGTGACATCACCGTGAGATTAATGGTATCCAACTCTTGTATGGAAGTGGTCCAGCTAAATTAAGATGCTACCCAATAATAACCCCGACAAACCGGTTTCCTTTACGAGAATTAACGCCAATTTCAGTTTTAAAAAAAGAAAACAAATTTTCATCAATGAAGTTTTTATAAAAGACGATAGAAATATCGATATTTTTGATATTTATTCAATATATCGAATTTCTTTCGATAGATCGATATTTTTTCTATATCTTCCATATATCGATATATTCTCGATACATCGATATTTTTTTGATATACTTTCGATATATCGATATACTTTCGATACACATCGATATACTTTCCATACACATCGATATACTTTCGATATATCGATATACTTTCGATACATCGATATTTTATCGATATCGTTGATATATCAATATTTTTCGATACATTTATTTTATTGATCGATTTTCGTATCGTTATATCGGATTTTTCAGCATCTAAAAATTTTTTTAATCTTATAAAAATAAATTGTAATCCATCATGTGATGGACTTTGACGATTTTGAATATTTGACTGTATTGTCACGCGTGAAATGAGACGTATCGTAATCAAGTATAATATCGTGAATAATAAACTCACCCTTGTTGCACCCTTTCCTCGACCTCTGCCCCTTTCCCTGAATGCTCCCTCGCCAGTTTGCATGTTGTACAAGTGCTGAAACAAGAAAAGAACAAATTCTTCAATTGTCGTTTAAGTAGCTATTTATATAAGTTTTTATTATTATTATTATTATTATTATTATTATTATTATTATCATTATTGTTATCAAAATTAAATATATTTTTGCCAAATAAATAATTGTAATATAAAAATAGTAATAATAATAAATTAAAAAAAATAATAAATAATTCAAAAATTAATTAACAAATATATATATATATAGATATATTTATTAGCCAGAAGAACGTTATCGACTTGAACGCGAACTATCACAAAATCAAAGCTTCCATATCATCTCAATTTGTCCTCGTTAAGTTCAATAGAACCAGTTATAAAAATAATACGTTGCATGGCCATCGCACTGAATTTGTATCCGGCCAAAAGAAAACGTTACTCTCTTCACTAAAATAATAATTGTATCTCTCACATAAAATAAAATTATATCAAACATTTTTTTTTTCTTTATTTTCAAATTTTTCTTTTTTAATTTCATTTTTTTTTTTTTAATTAAAATGTCTTGAATTTTTCTAAAATTTTCAATTTTTTCTTATTTTTAAATTTAAAAAATAGAAATAATACAGAAAACTGTATTATCGACGGGAATTATTAATGCTCAAAGTTTCGAAAATCCACTGAGAGATGTCGCTAGGCAACAGTGTTTCCGAGCGCAATTTGAAGCAAAAAAAAAAAAAAAAATTTCTACCGTACCGACCAACCGCAAACGACGACGACGATAAAGAACAACAACAAGAGGGAATTCCCCCCTACGCATGTGCGTACTGCTGCTGCTGCTGCTGCTGTGTGTAAAATGAGAGAAAATTGATTTCTTTTTGCACTCGCGCTCTCCTCAAATAAAATTAAATTACCGACTCCCATAAGTCAGCGAACTTGAAACAGACGTCTGTATCTTTTCAAAAGGGAAAAAAAAAAAAAAAATTCTCCCAACGTCTCCCGTGCAGAAATTTCCACCTTTCTTCCCGATTTCAGACCTGGCCCCGGCCAGATTATCTGGTCTGGCCCCGGGTCAGTAAATGTTAGTGGCCCCGGTCGTGGCCAGGCCGGGTTGCCCCAATAATAAGATAAGTAAAAATAAATTTTTATAGAGGAGTGCAGAACTCAAGAAGGCTATAGAAACAGGAAGTACACGTTAGGTAGTGGGGGTACGTGACAATTTGGTTTTCTGAAATGGGCGGATAAGTTGCAAGACGCAGTAGCCTCCTGCGCATATTACGAACAGGTGATAATAAAAAAGCAGATATTTATTTTACCGAAGCATATACGTACGTATAGAATCAGTGTTAATATTTTATTCTGAATTACCGCCAGATGGTAAGTCAACAGTTAGTCTGCGCAGAAGGCTACCGCGACTTGCAACTTATTCTATTGCTCTGCCTATTTCAGAAAACCCTTTTTCTTACGTATTCGTACGGTACCTCCCATTTCTAGTCTTCTTGGCCTAACTTTTGTTTTACTTTGGATACATTAATTATTTATTTCTGTGAATAATATGCCAAAACACAAAAGTACGAAACGTGTACGGAAACATCGACTGTCAACCCAATTTTCATCTCTGCCGAATATATCAAGTCGTAAGTAAAAAATATTATTCACATGATATTACATTACCAAATAAAAAATAACCTAAAAATAGAGATTTTGTATTCTAACTTTATAAATATTGTTTTTATTTTTATAGTTTTACAAATGTTCTAGTAGTATTCCTTTGAAAAAATCCCGAATTTAAGTTAAAAATTCTTTTATTACATCTGACTTCTTATATATTCTTTCACATTTGTTATAATAATAATATGTATAAGTATGAATTTATCACTCGATCGAAATTAGTTTTATAAGAATGATCTTTCTTTCTTATATAATAATAATGATAACAACTATTTTCATGTATGTTAAATATAATTCTATGCCTTATAGCTTCAGATGATTCAAATCATGAAGATGCGAATCTTAATGAGAATATCAGCTCACAGCTAGGACAACAAGATGATTCGCTTAGTTCCCATATGGAAGATTGTCTCACACCAGGCGACATTGATTCAAACTACGAAATTAATGAATCTGAAGACCAAAGTAAATATTATTAATAATAAAGTAAACTTAAAATATTTTTAAAAATTAATTTCAACGTAATGAACGCGAGATCACAGTGATTAACATTAGGTGAAAAGGGGGATATTAATTTTTGAAAGAGATATTTCTTCAAATTAAGTAAAAATTTATTTTATTATAATTCAGGGGCTGAATATTTAATTATTTAAATATTTAATTATTATCTTCTTCTGTAGCCTATATTTCTTAATTCTGAATACAAATTTTTGTTAAAATTCTATTTTTGATTTAAAATTCCAGATTTAAAATTCCATGAATTTTACTATATTCAAATTTATTTATATAACGCATTAAATTTAAGTAAAAATTAAAAAAATTTGCTTCGGATTAATTTCGGACTTAGTAAAATTTCCTCTCAAAATAATAAAATGTACTATGAAAAATTATTATTTCCAGAATTACTTTTACTATTTACCAATAAAATTTCTTTAGAAAAATTTACTTTGGAAATAATCACAACTCATAACAAATTGTACGACGTTCGATTAAATTAAAAAAATATTCATAAAATAATTAAGTGCAGAAATAGTAAAATTTTCAAATAAAAATCTGAGAATGGTAAAAATTGACCGATATTGCAAATAGCTACACTCTAAATCTAAATCAGTAAAAATTTTATTGATTTCAATTCACTGGACGAGTTTTATTTAATTCTTCAGTTGAATTTCACTGATTCATCAAAGAAAATTCATCCACTGCGCATTGAAATTAGTGACATTTTCACTAATTCAGATTTAGACTGTGTGGAATTTTGCTTTTAAGCAGTAAGTTATTTAATATTTGTTGCTATGTATAACAAAATGTCTATATTTAACAAGTGTAAAAAATAATATAAAAACATCTATTAACTTTTAAAAGACTAAAATTTTCCTAAAGTTTGCAAAAATTAAAAAAAAATTTTTTGACAGAGCTACAAAAACTTTTCTAACAAAAAACATTACAATTTACGTGGGTTTTACTCTGAAAAAAGGAAAAGAGGATTTAGTAAATAAGGGGACTAACTGTGATCTCTCTGTATGTATTAATTCAATCATAACTATAATGTAACAATTATAATTGCAGATGACGGTGATTTTAACGGATCTTCAGAATCTGAGGAGAATGAATTTATTGACGCCATCGATAATTTTGAAGAAAATGAACCTGACGAAATAAAGGAATTACAATTATGGGCTGTTGAAAATGGAATTGAACAAAACAGTCTTGATGAAATGTTAAAAATTTTGCGGCGTAGACTCTTGCCCGAATTACCAAAATCAGCGAAAACCTTCTTAGGTACTTCAACAGCAGAGTACGAAATTCAAGAAATGGCAGATTCAGACGGAAGTATGGGTGAATATGTTTATTTTGGTATTAAAAATGGCCTTGAGGAATGCATAGACCCAAACGTACATACCAAATCCACAATTTTTTTGCAAATTAATGCTGATGGTATCGCTTTATCAAAATCAGGCGTAAAAGGGTTTTGGGTCCTATCTGGCAAGGTTTACTATAAACCTGATGTTTATAAACCATTCCCAATTTTAATTTATTCGGGTAATTCGAAACCGGCAGATGTAAGCGAATTTTTAAAAGATTTCATTGAAGAAATAAATATTTTACAGTCGAGAATAATAATGATTGCAAATAATCTATTTAAAATTCGCATTCATTGTTTTATTTGCGACACACCATCTCGAGCATTCTTAAAAGGAACAGTTGGACATGTGGGGATTTTCGCTTGCGAGAGGTGTGAAACTCAGGGATTGAAAGAAAATGGAGTCACTCAATTTCCCATTATCAACTGTAAGGAAAGGACGGATGAATCCTTCAGGAAACAAAATCAGCCTGGTCATCATAAAAGAAAATCTCCTCTTTTAAATGTAAAACCACAGTTGAATATGATTGCTATGTTCGTGCTGGATTTCATGCACCTATTCTGCGAAGGAGTCATGAAACGTCTTCTGCTTAATTGGTTCGTGATAAACACTTATGCAAAACTTGGACAAAATTGGAAGACTGAAGTATCTAGAAGACTTCTTCTAATTCGCAGGTGTATACCATGCGAATTCCAAAGAAAATCTAGATCCTTAAAGTCCCTTTGTAAATGGAAGGCAACAGAATTTAGATTTTTTTTGTTGTACTGCGGTCCTATTGTGATAATGCATGCGTTAAATAGTGATAGGTATAAAAACTTCTTACTTCTTCATTCTGCAACGAGAATTTTGTGCAGCGACAGTTCAAGTAGAATGTATCAAAGTTATGCGAAATCTTATTTAGAAAAATTTTTCTTGAGTTCACGACATTTGTATTTTCGAATACAGGTTCTCAATATGCACCATGCAATACATGCTGTAGATGATGTAATTAAAATGGGCTGTACCTTCAGCGAAATTAGTGCCTTTCCCTTTGAAAATTATCTCGGTAAATTGACAAAACTAATACGTACACCCAATCGACCCTTATCACAGATTTGTCGCAGGTTACACGAAATTAAAACAATAAATCCACCTAAACCACAGTTACCAGTCAAAATTAAAATATTAAAATCCAATGATTTGGAAATTTTTAAATTAAAGTACAAAGAGTGTACTCTAACAACAAAGATGCCAGACAATTTTGTAATTTTAAAAAATAGAAATCTTGTTCGTATTAGAAAAATATATAAAACAGAAGGCGAAATAAGAATAGAAGGTAACATATGGGATACTAAAAATCCAATATTTACATATCCCCTCAATTCAAAATTGTTAAACATGTGGGAACTGCGTAGCAAGCCTTCTAATCGTTTAACCACATTTAATGTAAACGACATCAAACAGAAAATGGTAAAATTATCATTAAATTTCAGTGAGAGAGAACCAAAAAAACATTACTGCATGCCTCTTTTACACCAGTAATAACGTGTTTTACGCTTATATTGCAAAAATTGATTTAAAAATCCGATGTACTGCAATTTTTTTCAAATTATATACACTAATTTAATATTTGAAAGAGAACTTATAACCTTCACAAAAATAACATGATAAATAAATAAAACAAGTAAAAAAAAAATAGATTAGAAAATTAAATTTATTTAAATTATTGCTTTATAAAATTTGAAAATAATGTTATATTTAATTTATTAATAATTAATAATAAATTAATTTGTATTTATATAATAATTTTAATCTATGCAATTAAAAAAATCTTAAATAACTTATCAATTAAATTAAATATATAAAAACATGATTAAAAAATCGAATATTTTATAATCGTTTGTTAGTTTCTCGGAATTTGGATTTCTGGCCTAAAGTGATAATATATATCTAAATCCAAAGAAACAGACTTCTTCTAAAATAATAAATAACTATATAAAAAGTGAAATTTTAATAAGTTTTACACTTATAAAATATATTTTCACTGCTTTATTATTGCTTTTTCTAATAAAATATATGAAAATAAAAAGAGATGTTTTTGAATTTCCCGCTTTATGTTGTTGCATTGGTGTTTAAAAGTGGCAACACTGTTATTCGATTCGATAGTTCTAACTCTGTGCTATATACATTTTTAAATACACGAAACATTTATAGTACACAATAATTATTGTGTTATTAACGTATTTGATGTAATTATATATAAGTGTATAATGTAAGTATTACTTATATAATGTTATTTTTTCTCAAAAAAGTGTCAACAAAATAAAATCAAGGATAAAATCTGTACAGTTAAAAGTTGAAAAGTGACAATTTATAGGTTATGTGTTTCTCGTAGATGAGAAAAATAAGAGTGTTTTCTTTAATTTGGAATATTAATCTATGTAGTGCAGTGCTTAAATATTTAAAAAAAAGTTATGACATGAAAACAGAAACCAACATTTCTATTATACGCGCCATTTAACTTTTTTATAATTCATGAAAAGCGGTTATTTCCTTGTAGTTTTCAATGTTGTTATCCATGAGTTCGAGAACATTCGAGACGATCAACATAATCAGACGTTTGTTTTGAACTCAACCCGTAATGAAAAAGTTTACTTTCCTATTAATTATTTTTTATATCTTATCAGTGTATAAAAAATGATTTTAAAGTTATTAAAAAATTAAAACTAACTAAAGTTTTTTTACAGAGCAATGGCGAATTTAATATTAACCTGCAAACCATTTCAATTAGTCCACTTTACATCATCAGGCAAAAGTGAGATAACTCGAACAGTTGATATAACGTTACTAAAATGGATTAAGTACGATGACAAAAAAAAACAGTTTTTAACAAAATATATGCCGCCTCCTTACACTGAGGAAACAAATAAATTGTTATACGATTTAATACAAAATAATTCAGATATAGTTGACAATAATTGGCCAAATTATGTTGTTAAAATTGTTGGTCATGCAGGTGAGTCAAAAATATATAATAATAAATATATATAATTATATATACATTAATATAATAAAATTTTGTTAAGTAGTTGCTAAAAATCTAAAATAAAAATGGAAAGATTATACGGTATTTTTAAAAATAAATTGCATAAAATTGTTACTTTTTAAATTTAATTTGTTTAAATATATTAAAAAAACATTGTATGATTTATAAAATATTATTTAACAGATACATATGAACAAGCTGTCATGAGATTAAACGAACTCAAGATTAAGGAATTCGCCTATACAGAATCGGAAGTAGACCCAGGGAAAAAGGCAAAATTAGCAACTAGTCAAATTAAACTTCAGTTGAAGTCTTTGCCAGATTTAAAGAATATTATGAATCTTTCTACTATTGGAGAGCCCCAGCCTAGTACTTCTAAAGAAAAATCAACAAATTTATCAAATTTTAAAAAACAGAGAAACTCTACGACTTTTTCAGGTTAGTATATTGGTTTTGGAAATCAATTGAGAATATTAAAATTTATATTTTTCACTAATAACATCGTTAAATTCGTCGTTTGAGAAATTAATTCCTTTATTTGTTTTACGTATTTTTATAAATTTTCAAATCCAAATTATATAATGTATAAAATTAAATTTTGATATTTTTATAGACAAAGCAGCAGTCAATTCTCAAAATAGTATAAAAAGGAAGAAAAAAAAACAAAATTCTGGTGTTCACCGTAAGTATATTTTTCTTATTAATTTCTATTTTTCGAGAATCTTAAAAATGTAAAATCATTTTATTTCACAATTTTTTTTAACTGAGGACAAATTAAAAATCAATATTGTTAACAATTTTTCAATCGTAATGACAATAATTTATTTTCTTGATGGTCAAAATTGAAAAATATGTAAAAAATTATTTAAAGTTTAAATGGTTTTTAGGCAAGAAGATAGTAGACTCTGATTCATCAAGTAATAGTGATTCAGTTCCCAATAAAAGAAGAAGGGAGATGTTAAAGAATAATTCTAGTACTCGAAGTAAGTATATTTTCTTTATTAATTTAAATTTTTTGAGAATCTTAAAAATGTCAAATCGGTTTATTTTACAATTTTTTTTTACTTGGGCCAATACTGCAAAATCAAGCACCATAGAATACATTGTACTCACTTTTAAAACTATTAAGACATCTTATTTATCTATTTTCAATCTTAGAAATTAATGCATTTTAAGATGCTATTAATAGCTTTTGGAAACAACATAAAAATGACTACCAAAATATCTTAAAACAAGATGCCTTCTTTTTATAGTGAAATTAAAAAATAATATTGATAACAATTTTTAAATCAAAATGACAATAATTTATTTTATTTTAGACAAGATTATAGTAGATTCCGGTTCTTCAGATAATGGCGATTCTGTTTTCAATAATAGAAATAAGAAGGAGGCGAAAAAGAATTTTAATACTCAAGGTAAAAAAAATTTTCTTTACTGAGATAAAGTTTTTTCTAGATAATAAAGAAGGTAGAATCTTTTTTATATGGGGCATTTTATTTCAAAATTATGTACCCCTAGTAAACAATTGACAATACAAGACATTTTTAAAATAATTATTTCCCCCATTCAATTAAATCGAATTACTTTTACAATGAGTAATTTTGAAAGAGAAATTTCTAAACTTTATTATTGTACAAACATTTTTTTAAAAAAATTTTTGTACAATAATAAAGTTTAGAAGTTTCTCTATCGAAACTACTCATTGCAAAAGTAATTCGATTTAATTGAATGGGAGAAATAATTATTTAAAAATTGTCTTATATTGTCAATTGTTTAATAGAGGTATAATTTTAAAATAGAATGCCCCATATATTCTTCTGACACTTGGAAATATTATAAATAAAAATTGTTAACAGTTTTTGCATTATAAAAATAGTTTCCATTTATGAATAAACTAATATAAGTATGGTTTAGAGAATCCAATACGTGAATTTTCTGACGATGAGGATGTTTCGCCAGATCTAGACTTTGGTCTTACGGATTTTAATGCGTATGAAGAAAGGAAAAGTTTAGGGAATCCACGAAGAACAACTGAAAACGTAAAGGAAAAAATATGTGATAAAAAAAACAATAGTCGTGAAAGCAAATATGAAAAAAGTAAGAATAAAAAATTGTATGCATAAATTTTGAAAGGACTATTTTCTTACATATATTACACAATTTCGAAACAATAAAATTTTTTCAATTTTCTTAGATTTTTCATCTGTAATGCGAGAAATAAAATCATTACGAATTGACATTAAGGATGTACATGATAATACAAAATTATTAATTGGAATGTTAGAAAATCTTGCTATTTTAAACTTGGCCGACAAAAAAAGTTTCGAGGCTGAATATAACTTAATTTTGCCTCTGCAAACTTTTGACGACGTAGAAATTCTTAATCAAAAACTTGCAAATGAGGATTGTAATAAACATTTTGTAAGTAAAAAATTTATTATGTATTAGTGCTCCGTAAGTTTTAGTTCTATGATATTATTATATCCTTTAAGTATAAATTATTTAAATTTGCTTGCTTCCTTTTAAGACATTTTTTATACATCGAAATGTTTATTTATTTATATATATATTTATATTTTTATTACAGAAGGCGACGTTACAATTGTCATTAAGTAAAGATGTTGGAGTAAGAAAAGTTTTAAATGCAATAATTAAAAAATATCTATGTAGAGACATTGTACTTAAATTGACTGCGACGAAACCAAGTCCTGGAAAAACAATTTTCAAAAATATGAAAATGTGTTCGAGCTTATTGGGTAAAATATTAAATTTTATGAAATAAATTGCATAAACAAATATATTACAAGGTAAATTTAAGTAATTTTTAATAAATTTATTTTCAGAGGTTGCCACAGAAAAATTTCAAATTAGTGATGATGAAGTACTATCTCACCTTGGCATTATATTTGGCAATGCCAAGGATTGGGATGGTCATCGTAATCGAAGAAAAAATGATAATTAGTTAATAATTTTCAAACTCTTCAAATCGTTTAAAAATTATAAATTTATGGTTTTGTTTTATTAATCGACTTTTTTGTAAAAGTCATCCAAAGACTGGGATGGTCGTTTTAAGAAAAAAAACAAACAAACTGACCATTAATATACAGTATAAGTTAATAATATTTTGTGCAATTTAAATAAAACTTAAATAAACTTAATATTATTGTTTTTATTTTATTAATGATACATTAGGGAATACAGTATACTGACTACTGTATGGTTTACCATACCAAAAAAATTTGAATGGTAGTCAAATCGGGAAAAATTTGATGGCCCCGGTCGGGTCCCCAGCAGGGAACCAGATCGGGCCCCGAGCCATGGCCCCGGTCGGTTTTATTGTTTCATCCAGGCCGGGGGCAGGCCAGATTTCCCGGTCTGGCCCCGGTCTTGCCCGGTCTGGCCCTGGCCAGGGCCCGGTCAAAATTTCTGCACGGGCTGCAAATAAAAAAAAAATTCCATGGCAAATTTTATAATTTTCCAAAGAAAAAATGTATTGAAAAATTTAATTTTTTACTAAAAAATATTTTTTTTATTATTATTTCTTAAATTATTTTTTATTTAATAAAATATTTTATTAAAGTAGGTATTTTATTATTTATTTTAATACGAAATTTTTTGTATTAAAAATATCTTTTTTTTT